GCCGAGCACACCGGGGATGGGGGAAAGCCGCCGGCCCCAGACCTCGCCAGCCTGCCATTATTGCATCTCAGCATCACACCTGCGTGTGCAGGGAGCCTTCCCGCACGTGAACTCACCTCCCAGCAGGCCAAGAGTCCAACTCTGAAGAGCAGCAAGGGGTGTTTTTGCTTATTATTAATAGCCAGGCTCTGGCTGCAGCCGGGACTCGGTGGTCAATACCCAAGTGCAGAAAGTGCTCTCCTGCCTCCCAGCTTGAGCACCCAGAGATGGTCCCAAACCACTGCCAGAGGATGCTCTCCCCCTCCACTCCAGCACGTGGTCCCCAAGACTGGAGCGTGCGTGTCTTCCCGCCCAGGTGTCAGGGACGGTGTCTGCTCCCTGGAGTGCCGGCAGGGCCGCCCGGATGCACCCGCAGCCCCAGGGGAGCCCATGCCACCGCTCGCTCAGCTGCCTGCCTGATGCACACAGCTACTCCGCAGGCATTCCCGGTGAACCGCGCGGTCTGACCCCAGCCCAGCACCGTGACTTCTCCCCAGGAACGCCTGACTTAGCCCCCAGCCTTGGAGATGTGGCGCAGGGACCCACTACGGAATGTCTGCGCTCACCTCGGTGTCCCAGCTCTGCTCTGGCTCCTGGCACCGCAGACGTGACCTGGCCAGGCCGAGCTGCCAGGCCACAGGTATCGCTCGTGCCCAGTGCCATCGATGGCCTCATGGGGGGAAGGACCCCAAGCACCCACTGGATTCCAGCAAGATTCAGGTGCCAAACACCCGACCTCATCATCAGTGGGTTGGCATCACTTGGATCCAGCCTGGGAGAGGAGTTTGAGGGGAGGGGGAGAAGGGGAAGAGATCCCACAATCAAAATGGGAAAAGGGATGAAAACCAAACCGCTGCTTACAAATAAAGAGTTGAACAGAGGGCAAAGAAGCCCAGAAGGGATTATAAAAGCATTGCCAAACTAGCTGTGGAGGGGAAGAGACACAGCGGCAGGCATCCTGTGGGCAGGGCAAGGTCGGAAAAAAGCCCAGGTAACACGCTACCTTATTCCTGAAACCAGGAAGCCAGAGGAACAGCAGCCCTAGAGCAGCAGGATTTATCTCCTGGATAACATCCATGCTGCCTTCAGCCTGCCTATCCCTCCCCGCCGCCTCCCCAGCGGCTGCCTGCGGAAGAGAACAACGCTTCCGGAGGGGCCATCCCCTACTACAGCCCTACAGAGCATCCCCAGGCTGTCTGGCAACCAGGCCTTGACACGCACGAGCACTTGCCACGGGGGTGGCGCGCGGCCGGCTCCAGCACGGCAGCTGCAGGGCGATGCGTGACGCCAGGGGCCAAGCGGAGGAAGCACAAAGAAGCCAGAAAGTCTCTTGAAATAAACACCAGGAGTGAAGTGCAACACAGGTAGAGCAGAAACATGTTTTGCTCCCGGGAGGCTTTAGGCCACAACTGCTCTTTGGTTTGAAAAGGAAACACCAGCAGTTGGCAGAGAGCCCTTCGCCGTGTGATGCCCAGGGGATATCGCCCCCCCCAGCCAGCCCCTACCTCCCCACCCAGCACCGTGCTTCCGACACTCTGTGCCTCCTGCTATTTCCGTCACCTCACGGTAAAAACGTGACCCAAAGGCGCAGCAACAGAGATCGACCTGCTCCTCCAGCCCTCCTGGACTCAACACAGCGGCTTCCAACTGGACAATCTAAAAAAAAATACCCCCAGGCCTCTCGGGTAGCCACCAGCTGCCCACTCCATACTGGCCCTCCACCCCCCAGCACTGAGGCCTGGCCACAGGAGCCACCACAGGCTTCTACTGGATTTGGGCTGTCGCAGGGCAGCAAACAGGATGAACAGACTGAGTCACCACGAGCCCACTGCCCGTCCTACTTCACGATGCCCTAACGCCGCACCAAGATGTTTTGGAACCTGGAGGTACCCACTCACAGGCACCGGCTGATGACCCGGCCCTGGACTCGTCCCCGCCGAGCTCTCCGCAGCATCCCCTCTCCCCCGGCACAGGCCCCTCAACACAGAGCCCAGGGCATTGCTTGGCTGTTGCCACGTCCCAAGCGGACCCGGAGCTCTTTGCCAGGACACTGGGGGCTTTCCCAGTTGCTCAGTACAAGGGAAACACTCCCCAGCAGTCCCTGTGCCCAGCTGCTACCAAGGGGACAGGACAGGTCAGCTCCGTGGCCAGCACACGGTGCGGAGCTGTGTCTGGGGCCATCCTCCTCTGCCCCAAGCACCCGAGGCTGTCCAGCCACCCAGGCCCCTGGGAAGGGAAGGGAGCAGGGCAGAGCCATCCAGGGCCACACCAGGGATTTCTCCAAACCCCTTCTCTAGCCAGCAGCTGCCCCAACAAGCAACACAGCCAGAAAAGCCCCCAGAGGCTCCAGCCTCCATTCACACCCTCCTCCAACCCCTTCTGTAAAGACAGGATTAGCCTTCCTTGGTCTTAATCCTCATTTTCACTCCTACAGTAAAGCATACACTGAGCTTACTACATATTAAACAGCAAAAACCAGCTACCTAGAACCAAAGAACTCTTTAAAAATGCAAGTTATCACATCTTTTTGTTTTTAAAGAAAGATCCAGTATGACATCAAGTTAAACTATACAGTATTTTTAATGAATATTAACAAACTGCTTTAAAAAAAAAAAAGCATAAAGGAAAAAAGGAAAAAGAAACGCAGACAAAAAACTCGGTAGGAAGTTCTACATCTTTGAGGCAGCACGAAGATAACCATCAGTCCCTCTTCCTCGGGCAGCAGAGCAAGGTCTGCTTTAACCTCTTTAAAGCTGCACATGAAGACGACTCAGCCCCCAGGGTCAGACCTGCCACCAAACCGTCCCAGCCCCTGAAAGCACACCCGCTCCCCCTCACAGTGCTGGAAATGGGAAAGAAAGCTTTTCTCCACCTTTTATCAGTATCCCCTACCAGTGAAGCAGGCACAGCCCAACTCTCTGCAAGGTTAATCTGCCTATGCTTGCCACGGACAACGTTTATTAAACTCGCCCTCGTCGCCTGGGCAGCACAAGGGCTGCTGCTCGCTGCTCACCGCTCGTCACAACGCCCTGACCTCACGCAAGCCAAGATCACAGCAGGCACCAGTGGAGATCACCTAGTCCAAGCCCCTGCCCAAGCAGGGTCAGCTACAGCAGGTTGTCCAGGACCATGTCCAGCCAGGGCTCGGATATCTCCACAGGTGGGTATTTATCATCTTAATGCCTCCAAAGACGGAGAGGGGAAGGCTTGGCGGGCAACCTAGTAAGCAGGCCTTCAACCTCCAAGGCATCTAACTGGCATTTAACACATCTCTCGGACACAAGACGCCAGAAAATCCTGCGGAGGAAAACACCCGAGGCCGCGTTGACCTTGCTAGGGGAAATTTATTTAAGTGATGTGTACAAGAACTGTGCAAAACCTGAAAAATACAGAAAAGGTAAAGAAAGGGGTAAAAACAAGACTCTGGGAAGAGGGGAAAA